TCATGATTCCACTAATGTGACATGCTATACTGGCAAGAAGCCTGCAGTGGATACTTCCAACAGAACCGACCAGACACTTCGGAAAACAATCCGTTTTTAACTCCGAAGACAAATACTGCTGTGGGTGAACGTCAGGTGATGAGGCAAACTACCAAGAGCCCTATTATGACGTAAGAGGATTAAGGGACGAATCAGAAGAGATTATAAACCTGTCCCTTTAGCTAGATCCGAAAACTATCGTTCTCACTGAAACATGACTCTCGTCCAACATCATGGATGCAGAAGTTGACCTTTAAGGTATGACACTTTTTTATATGACGGTGTGCACAAAAGGGGAGGTAGAGTCGCGTTATGTCTTAACAGTCACTTCGAAACCGTAACAACACACAGTAGCGAATTAATCAAAGTCACCAAATCATACTGATTTCATCCAACACCAACAGCACGAAGTACTTGGTTGGAGTAATATGCCGTGTCTCACTTAATGTTAAGAAATTGATACAGTTTGCTCATCAGTGTCACGTTGTGAACGTTCAGACCGACAGAACACAAAACATTATGCTCTAGACAATAGTTTCTTCCCAACTGTTTATACAAAGCACAATGATAAACCAAGAGCGACAGAAAGACCGAATATCAATGATAGCTACCAGGAGGATGCAACCGACGGATGCACCATCTTCTACTTTATTCAGAGCTGATTGGAAGTGTTGACAGTTAAGCTCTCTTTCACAATATTCAGAAAATAAGTACACCAACATATTCAAACTCACAATGCTATAGAACTGAATGATTTGTGGACAGTTGAGCATTAGTATATTTAACCATGCCACAAGAATGATAGACTTAGTTCAAAATTGTGGACTTGCTATTGGCATGGTCATCTAACCTACAAGATCTGTGGAAGTCACATCATTATCTATACTGACCCATCCAATGTGGCAACCAGCGATTGCTTCTTAGGTCTTCTGAAGGACATATATGGGCCAGGAATATAATTATATATTTAATATAAAGGCAAGATGCCACATAGGATGATCACGGGTGGATGTGTGAGCCAAGCAGTCTCTCTCCTGGCCTTCTTTAAGTTTTCAACGGCTGTCGCAAGTCTCAGTCATTATACATTTAGCTCAGATGACAGAGCGGTTAGAAATTACTACCACTACAGTACCTCATCTCCATGCAAGGAATCAGAAGCTTTTCGAACAAGTAAACGGTCAAGCCACAAATTAGGTCACAGGGCTAAGGGACAGATTATATGGAGACCAACTCTGCTACCCATGATGGATTTTGCTGGGAATGAGAAGTGCAAAATATTTTTCCAAGTCCTGGCTGAAAATTATTACATTAGACAGGGCGGAAAATAAAAAATAACAAAACTCTTTGGAGAGGCATTTCGATTATTCCTACCGCTACCATGTTTACTATAAATATATACTCATGAGATTTTGCGTGATGGAATAAAGAACTTCTTGATCCCTGTTGTTCTACATCTGAAAACTGTCCCCAAGTCTCAGTGGAATTCATGAATCCACAGTTGTACGCATTATACGTTTCGACTTAATATCGTCTAATCACATCAGAAACTGCGAATTTAATTGCTTACTGCCTGTCAGATCCATTAAGGCATCCAAGTCATCCGATTGAGATACGCGCAAAACCGGAGTTTTCAAAACAACGATTTGTCTACAATAGCTGTTCTTTATTGAATAATACACTAAACTTAGTTACAAGCTTCAAATTATGAGGTGTGTGGGGCGTTTAAACGCGTCCTTCAAGTATGAAAATTAACAAGGCTTCCTGTAACAGTAACATAAAGAATTATTATAACATACGATAGTACAAAGGACAGCTGATAGCTGTGTCTAAATTTGATAACAGTTTATGAACAATCGAAACTCGAACCAAGAGCAAAACAATATGGAAACTTTTGCGTTCAAACAAATGCACAAAACTGTGGATAACCATTGCAGCGATTAAGGTGCAGTAATCATAGTGATAAATACAATGATAATTACAATAAACGTAATAAATATATGTGAACATTTCAGAATATTACACTTCAACAGGCGTGACGACATAAGTGTAAAAATTGTTGGGAATACAACTGCTTACTGAATGTAAATAAGTAGTATAAAGCAATATACGAAGAAGTGGAATGGGAGCGAATAGGAACAATGTAAGACAAACTTTACACTGCCTTAAGCCACTTACCGCTCTATGAGCACAGGCAGCGAGCTAGGGATCTCCAAGCAATTCTGTTCTTGTTTTTGTTTATTATTTACAAGTAGCGTTCGTGGTATTCATGTCTTTTCCTACGATTGATGGAGTAATGTGTTGTCGCCCTGCATATCTCCCTATGGCCTTTTGGGATTTTACGATAATTAGAGGTATTCGAAACGATTCACTAACCAAGGATTCCCGAGGTAACCCAACTTGAGAAATGCAGAACTAGATGGGTACTACAAAACGTACTATATTTGGAGTTTACTATTAGCACCTAGTCAAGTACTAAGGAATTGTCAGTTAGCACAATAACCGCAGGTTTGTATTTAAAGCTTACTATACAATCCAGTTTAACGTTTTCCGTAAAGTATGTCCTATTGCGATGATTAAAAGCAATCTAATTTATATGGTAACTAGGAATTACTGAAACAGTTCAATTTGAGACGGAGAAAGCTAATTGAGCACAAATAAACGTATCACATTTGGAATTCGTAATAAGCACACAGTCTAGTACAAAATAATCATCAGTTAGTATAAATACTGCACCAATCCACTCTCAGCGTCTTTTTCACTTAAGTCCTCAACTACTGTCTACTAGGCCAGGATATTGCTGATAGTTTTTGAGCGATCGAAATGGAAAATCTCACGTAAAAAACTACTTACAACTACCTGCAATTTTCGATAACAGTTGTGGTAGTTCTCTGAATATCAGTATTGTACAGTAGGACTGTTTTATTGTTGGCATTCAAAATTCTGACTTTGGTGTTGAACGACAGTTTTGTCGGGTCCCGGATGTTCTTTGGTTGCAGGAATCCCTCCCTCGGCTTTCTAATTCGCGTCTTTATATCTGCATCAGGTTCCCCTCGTTTGTCAGTAATGCTGCCCAGATACTTACAGGCTTTTAACTCCTCGAGAGTTTCGCAATCAGGTATGATTTGTCTGATGCCTTCTGTATTGTACCTTAGGATATTTACCTTGTGGATGCTGAGGCCTTGAATTGAGGAAGCCAACTGCTTACTAGCTGTTTACACCCGCATCTGTTGGAGTGTGTGCGGTAGAAGATCCAAGTCATTCTCAAACACCAAATTATCCATCTGAATTCAATCTGTCCATTATATCCTGTGTTGTTCCTGAGTTGCACTGATCTTCATAATCCAGTCAACAGCTGAAAGAACAAAGACTTGTATAAGCAGATAGCCCTATCTCACATTATCCATCACTTAAAGAACGTTTGTGAGCGGCCTACTATGCAATACTCTGCAACTCAGTTTCTCAGCAGAGTTCTGTATGACAGTGATAATCACCTCAGGTGTGTCGTACCGTCGAAAAAATCCCTTGAAATTTTTCTATCAACGTTGTTGAATTCTTACTTATTATCAATGAAATTGTAATATGTTGAATTGAACAACGATCTTACCTGACTTGTCTATGATCCATCTAGTCGTTATCCCTATTTTATACTTTGTCTCAAAACCCTCTTCATTAACTACATAACCCGATCATTAACAGAGGACTAGGTCTTAGCGTCAACATAGCAACTTTCATTCGTACAAAGAAATTACTAAAGAACTCTGAAAAACCAAACATTGACAACGATAAATCCTTACAGTACACCATTTTCACTTTATTGATCTAACCTCTAATATGCCCATAAATAAAAACATACCATCGATGCTGTATTCAATGTCCAATGAATGTTAAAAATATTCCTCGTTAAATGTTCATTTAAACAATCATTCTTAGCTGCTTACTTTTGTAGTGACTCACATTTATCACGAGAACACGACTGGTTTAATAAAAACAATTATTATTATAACCAACTGTACCAGTGTTTGTTTTAATGTGCTTTTGTTTGACTGTGCTAATGACAGCTATATTGTGCTTCCATTCTTATCCTCACACTTTGATTGTGACTTCGCTCGAATTTGGTTACGTTCTGTAACCAAGCTTGTATCGTGGCACGATCTCGGTATCCTTTCGATACCACGAGATCGACAGCAAATATATCTCGACATGGTCCATTAACTGCCTTATGATATTTGCCTTCTCGGGGATTTTATGGATTTATTTGGTTACGTTCAACCTTCGCCTTCTGATTTATTTGGCACGTGTTTCTTGGTAGCGGTGTTCATAGTTAATCTCAACTCGACACCACGCTACACTTTCATCACTACTTGATATACGCAATCATAATCGTTTTTTTCAAGTCAATTCAATAATCGGAATGCTAAAAATGATGTTTGATTTTAATCTAAGATTATTCAGTATATTTTAATCATCTCGTCCAGACAAATCACTTCATCATTACTTACAGTAAGATACCAAAATCTTAATGGTATTTACAAAAAGATAAGAGAATATATAATGAGTTGTTTTCGTTCTTAGATGTTTTGGTGGTATGGATGTTTGAGAGTAAACTTCATATGATTCATATGACAAATCACCTCATCATTATCTACAGTACAATACAAAGTTTTCAATTTTATACCAAGTCACATTGATAAATAGAGTACCATTCTGGTTACATTCACAAAAAGATAAGAGAATATAATGAGCTAGTTTTTTGTTTTGTTTTAAGATGTTTTATCATTAATACCGATGTTTAAGAGAAAATATCAAATTGTTGATAAGATTTTAGTCCGTTAAGTACAAAAGTTCACAGACAGTAAAATATCTTAATTATCTTAAATAATGAAACAGTTTTAGTAGAGTTGGACAAAAAAGTAGAATATTGAGAGAATCATGGTCAGTTTTCTAATATTACTACTACATCTATGACTGCGACTCCTCCTCCTACCCCTCCTACTCCTCCTCCTCCTCCTCCTCCTACTACTACTACTACTACTACACCTACGACTAATACTACTACTATTACTACTACTGCATCTACGACTACTACCACACCTACTACTACTACTTCTATTACTACTACTACTACACCTACGACTACTACTACTGCTACACCTACTACTACACCTACGACTACTACTACTACTACTATTACTACTACAGTTACTGGACCTAACTTAAATTGTCAGGAATTGGAGTGTTCGATTTTCATTCGGTATAATGATCCACAATTATCAGTAGTTAATAATTCCGATCATAATGGTAATAGTTCGAGCTGTATATATCCAAATGAAGTATATAGTAAGAATATCGTTGTGATCTATAGACGTCAATCGTAAATACATTCGAGTTCTGTTATCATAGCAACAAGTAATTGAGAACAAGTGACATATGTGTGTAACAGTATATTTATGAACGATAATCAGTGTGTCGTGCTCTTGGGGGGTAGGGATCAAAAAAGATTCAAGATGATGCATTTTTGAACATCGATTTTACAGTCACTTATAGTAAATGTACAACTTAGGAAAATTAATGAAAGTAATACAAAATAAGTTTGTCCTATCTTCACAATTTTGTAACTCTACAAAGATTGTATCATCATTTGCAGTTAAATAACATTTCACTGACGTAAGTAATGAAGCAATTGACACATTAACGTGTCTATCCACTTTGTGGTCATCAGTTTGCACTTGCTTGAATTAATAACAAAGTAGTAAAAATATCACTGTGTACTCAGACACTATAATGTATCGATGTTATGTCTTTGAATGAAACAAGTACCGTTTATATATATGGTACACAACAGCGTAATTGACTGATGTTACAAATATTGAGAGATACACTTGTTTATCTCATATTCACATCTTTTTGATCATGTATTGTTTCCTGCTGTAGATGCGCTACTCTGTCTTCCCATATGCATAATAACAAACATTGTGTCATTTCGACCTATGTGTAAGTAAATAGGAGAGATCAATCTGTAACGTTTCGTTTCTACTTACTGACACTTGGAACCATCATTTTCTTTCAGTGGGATCAACTTGTCACTTATATTCGTTGTTTAAATTTTTCATTAACATGTGAGTCTATCTCGTACATTTACACATAATAGATAAAATGTTCACTGGTAGTGACCGTAGGTTCTCTCGTTCAATCAGAGACAGTTGCAATCTGTAGTCGTTCTCATGAAACGTTTATCAAAGTATCCAATATTCCTTAATAATTGGACCCTAAATATGTACGGAAGGATGAAGAAGGATTGGTTTACTATCGATCTGAATATTGATCTAACATCAAAATGGTACATATGACTATACTAATTCAACTAATACTACTAGACGCCATAAAGTTTTAAAATTTCGATTATCTGAATAAATAATTCACTTGCCAGCATGAATTCCAATAATTTCATTGTAAGTAATATTCATCATGTTTGAAACGTAAGCATTTGAACAAAATTCGTAGTACTATACGGCCGTTTCATCCTAGTATGAGACCCCTCGACAGTACTCATCCACTATTCTTCACACTGGAATCAGTCCTAGAACCTTAGGGTTAGTGGACGAATGTTTAACTGCTAGATAACTGAACCAACATCAAACAGTATTCATGTCTAACATCAACCAATCCACGATAATGCGCGACCATCTTCCATTGACTTCAGTGAGTAACTGTCTCATACCCAAAATGATTGTACTCTATTGTTCACGGATTCCTGAAAGAACTATAAAAACTCTCTCTTGAAGCTAGTCACTAATGAGCACATAATAGTGATCTAACCTTGATTGATCTATGATCTCAATGAAACCTAACAATTTTCACAGTCCTAGCATTGAACAATCACAAAAGTGATAGTAGAAACTTACCACCTTCTCAAAACATTCCTATTTAAACTATTCAGTCTCTAAATTATGCTCAGTACAACTCATTCTACTGAGAGATGAGATAAATTAAGCACAGATATATATTTGTGTATATTTGTATGCACAATGCATATTGATCATTCATACTGTGTATATTTTACTTCTTATTCAACGAATACAAATTAGTTCTTTTCAATCACTTTGACTTAACCAATGGTCATCATTATCTAATGATATAAATACAGAAGAATCGGCAACGATGTTTCATTGAAAATGTGGCCCTTATATTTGTGTCTTATTAATCTGTTATTGGGAGTTATTCAGGCAAGCCAATATGAAAACACGATCTCGGACATATGTAAATACATTTTAGTAAATATATACTGTAAAATCAATGTTTTATACTGTTGTATATAAGATGCAGTTCCATATATGTGCTTTAATGGTAGATAATATATCCTAATTAAGACCTTTCTTCTTCAAATTCAAAATACTTTCGTTTGTACAATTGATTGATCACTAGGTGGTGATCAATGCCATACATGTCAGACCATTTTCAGTGCAGACTGAATCCTATCGATCAGGTTGATATGTGGCCACAAGTCTTAGTGACTCGACATTGTGTGAATTGTGTTGAGATAAGATAGTGGTTGGAGGTAGTCAACAGAAAAGCCTGGACCTAATGTTTCGTGTTATTTTACACTCATCACCAAGGTGTACCTGTAATCATGAGGGAACTGATGCTCACTGCCAAATTCGATCCTGTATCATCCAGTTTTACAGTCAGAGATGTAACCACTGAGCTATCGAAGCTGCGACTGGCCTCCTGTAGGACTCAGATGTATTTACAATTGATTGATCACTGGGTGGTGATCAATGTCATATATGTCAGGTCCTTCTTTGTGTAGATGGAATCCTATCGACCAAATTTGCATCATGTCATGTATTATACATCATGAAAGTGGTCCAATTCAATGTATTCTGGAAACATTCATGTATCGTTTAGAAAAAAATTGTTCGGTAACATTATACATTTCTGATTCGTATAACCTTTCTTCTTAATGAATAAAATTACTGACTGTATCCAAGTTATGTATCTATCTAATTCTTATATGAGTATTGATAAGGTAACAACCTCACCAGTCAATTGGTACGTTTTAATTGTATACATAGTAACTAGATGACTAATCAATTGAAGTCTTAAACAATAATGGTAAGCTACAAACGAACAACACCAACTGAATTTAAACCTTTCACCTCATTGTACAAGCAGGTGGCTATCAGGACTCAGTAGCTAAGTGAATAACGCAATGGCGTTTGAAGCGAACGGTACTGGGTTGGAGTCCCGGAGTAAACAGCAACATTGAGGTACAACTACAAGTCCCAAATAAGACGAAACGCGCGTCATGTATTCTACTGCTACCTACTATCCATCTTTGATTATTTTTAAATGATTTCTCTTTTACAGTTAACCAACAGAGAAAGGCTGGTCTGTTATTAGTACTGGAAACATACAAAGGTAAACTATTATTTAGATTTGTTTACATAATTAAACTATCAGTCAGTTATTTAATAACGATGTACAACTTCGTACGTACGTACGTACGTACATCAGTTCGAGTTGCCACACCACATTAGCACACAGATGTAGTGGTCGATTCAAATCCCGTAGTGGTAGAGGTAATAAGAGTATAAGCAGTAGTCGGGAAAATTAGGGTTTGGAGATGTTATTTAAAGAGTATAATCCAGTGAAATAAATTTGGAAAGAGAAAAAAAGAGACAAGAAGGATTCAGGAGATTAGAATTTGGGAGAACACAAAGAGTGGATACACCTGCGCCATCGTAAACGATTTTGAGCCATGTCATTCAGGGTCTCTAACCATCGGTTGCTATCATCTCGTGGTCCCCAACCAGGTAGTCTACACCTACCAACATGATTCAGTTCACTTGTCAGTGACTTCATGGACTTGTGCCATGTTTTGGTCTAGCCGCTCCTACCTTTCTTCCAACCTACTCCTATACCACTGAACATCGCACGTCGGGGCAGTCGGTGGTTGGGCGTATGTACCACGTGTCCCAGCCATCTCAACTGATGAAGTTTCACTACTTCATCAATTGATTTGCCATCCTTACCTAGTACCCGTTTCCAAACAACTGTGTTACTTACTCGATGGTCCCAAGGTATACAAGGAATGTGTTGGAAGACACCTATGATCAAACACTAGTAACTTACGAATATCCTCTACTCTTACCGGCCATGTTTCACTGCCATAAAGAAGGACGAAACGAACTGCTGCACAGTAAACACGTCCATTGGTTGGTAGACGGATATCTCGCCTACGCCATAAATGATGCAAGTTGGCAAAAGCTAGTCGAGCCTGCTGTATTCGTGCTGAGATTTCGTCACACACCAGACCACAAGGGCTGATGAGACTTCCAAGATAAGTGTAGTGGTCGACACGATCAACTACTTCACTCCCTATCATTAGTTCGGGTGTCGATGCAGCCCAATCGTGAAGCAACATTTTGCATTTCGAGGGAGAGAATCGCATCCCGAACATGCTTGCATTGTTGCTTAGAGTGGTCAGAAGACTCTACATTTTGTTAGCGTCTTCACCAAATAAAATTATGTCATCGGCATATTCCAAGTCAATAAGTGAATCTCCCGTTAGAAGTTCAACCCCTGGAAATTTAGATGAGGAAGGTGTTATCTCTAAAAGCACGTCAACGACAAAGAATGCAGAGAGTGAATAGCCCTGACGAACATAATTAAACTATAACACATCTCTATTCAACACATTTGTTTGTTTGTTTACAATGATATTTTGATATACAGAAAAGTATTTGGCTTAGTTTACCTACATACTAATTGCCATTGTGGTGAACCAAAAATATATCTACTCAAAAATGATAACAAAGTTATTACACCTGTTACTCCTAATGGAGAATAGGCCACTGACCAGTATTCTACAACTCACTCTGTCTTGGGCCTTCATTCCTAGTTCTATCCAATTGTTGTTCATTCTTCTCATGTCTGTCTCCATTTCTAGACTTAATATGTTCTTTGGTCTTCATCTTTTTCTTTGGCCTTCAGGATTCCATATGTGGGCTTGCCTTTTAACTCAGTTGGGTGCTTTTCTCCATGTATATTCTATCCACTTCCAGCGCTTCTTCCATAATTTAGCGTATTAATATATTAAATATACTCAAAAAGGGGTTTAATGTGGATATTATAATAATTTGATAGTTGGGTTCATGAGTCAATTTCGTGGATTAGTTGAAGTTATACACTAACACCACTGGATAACGGCCAGCTCAGTGGTCTAAAAGTTAAGCGTTCGTATACGAGAGTGAAGGTCCTGAGTTCGATTACCGCAGGGAGGAACCATGGATGTGCACCACTGAGGAGTCCCACACTAGGACAAAACGGCAGTTCAGTGATTCCAGATTTTCTATCATGGTGTAGTTTCAAATGA